TCCCTAGTATCCAAGAGCCGTTGGATGAAGGCGGAAGTGCATTGAAATTTGATCCGCTGAGGGTTATCGGCCAAGAATAGGCAAGCAACCTCATCTTTTACCATGGAGCCGATGTTTGCTTTGAAGAACACGACATATTGGAGAAGCCGTACAAAATACCTCAAGGCTATGTGAATGATATTGTTGACCTTTGAGGCATTAGTTTGAAACCTATCCTTGTTGGTGATACTCCTCCACCACTCTTGCTCGTTGTAAGGTATGCGATGAGTGGAGGTCATTTTGGATGGGTGATCAAGTCCGGTGGCATGCCAAAAGAATATCTCATTTAGCTCACTTTCCGTTAAAAAGTGATCCTCATTGAACATTCTAAAGTGGATCATAAGTTGAAGATCCTCATCAACACCCTCCGGCTCAATGACTTCCTTGCGAAGAGAGGCAAGGAATTCCAAAGTTACACGATCGTAAGTGTAAGCGTGGAGGTGAATGAAGTCACCCCATCAAAAGTTCTGAGCCAACCTGACCACCTCATCCAAAATACCTAGCTTCCTCAAAGTTTGGGGGCAAAAGAATCTTATAGAACGGATTGGACGCTTGATGAGTGACTCATAGATGGGCCAAAATTGCTCGTCCGAAGCAACAATGCCATGATAATTGATGCCGGGAGGAGGTGGGAATTGTGGTCCTGAAGATTCTACCACTCTCTTCCTCTTTGACTTTCCTTTGCCTTTGCCGAACATTTTGATTCTACAAATTCACCAAGAGCATATCATTAGAAAAAATTGATAAGAAATGACATAAGAAGCCAAGTAACTAGCCAAGGTAAAAGTGTATGCATGAGAGTATACAATTCGGCATGCATGAATACATTTGAACCAAGGCTTGAATAAGAATTCCTATGTCATTCATATATGAGTCCTAACAAAGTCTAGGTAAAATTTGGCATGATGTCCCCTAATTTTCATGATAACCATTCATCAAACCATCAAAAACAAACCAAAACAATGAATAACAATCTCCAACAACATCCAACACATGAATTTCTCAATCATAAAATGGTAACACGAACACCCTAGTATGAAATCAACATTCTTAAGCAAAGACATTGAGATCAAAATAAAACCAAGGCAAACATGCATAATCATCATAACAACATGTTCTACTATCAACAACCAATCAATTGCAACAAGTAAATCCAAATAACCACATGAATCAAACAAGTTATTACTAACAATTTCAAGAATACCACAATTCATAATTAAATATGTAAAACATGGTAAAACTATGAGAAATTGAAGAAATAAACTTGTAAAAGCTAGGAAAACCATACCACAATTGATTGGAAGCAAGTAGAAACCCAAAGACACCAAAGCACCCAAACCCTTGAAATTGGGGAAAATGAAAAGATGAGATTTTTGTGAGGATTTTTTGGTGGAGATTGTAGAAATTGAGTAGATGATGAAAAATAAGTGAGAAAAAGTGAAGATTGGAGTGATTTTGATGGAGATTTGAGGTTGTAAGAGGGGTTGTAATGGAGGTTTAGAGTGAGAAGGAGGAGAATGGAGAAGGGGAGATGCAAAAATGGGAGTGATAAGCCACGAAAATCAGCAGCAATAATAAAATGGCAACAGCGTTTTTTTTTTTTCAAAACTAAAGTATGGTTCGGCCGAACTAGGGGTATGTTCGGTCAAACTACAGTAAAAGTTTGGTCGAGCATAACCCAGGTTCGGTCGAACCTAAGCTGCAAATCAAAATTTTCAAATCCTGGCAGAATGTTACAGCAATTTTGCAAAAATGGAGGAGTGACCGAACCTAGGGACAGTTCGGTCGAACTACAGAACAAGTTCGGTCGAACCATCCCAAGGTTCGGTCGAACCTTAACTGGAACTTGATTTTTGCAAATTTTGGCAGAATGGACTTGAAATTTTTCAAAAATTGAGGAGTGACTGAACCAAGGACAGTTCGGCCGAACTACAATAAAAATTCGGTCGAACCATCCCTAGGTTCGGTCGAACCTTCTGTAAAAATACAAATTTGATCCCTTTGGCAGAAGGATGCCATAATTCCTTAAAAATGCTGCAGTGGCCGAACATAAAGTGGTTCGGCCAAATTCCCTTAAAAATCACAAGTAAAAATTGTCCTTAACACACATCTAAACACCATACAATCATTCTAGATGCAAAGCATATCAAAAATCCCAACACAATTAAAACTCATAAATCCCAACAATCCAAAATTATAGATAGAAGGATAAAAGCAACAAGGAAGGAAGAAAGTAGAAAAGGGTTAGAAACTCGGGTTGCCTCCCGGAAGGCTTTTGGTTAACGTCGTTAGCTCGACGTTCCTTGAGTTGATCAAGGAGGGTCAAATTGACGATGCACATCAAGAAGTGTCACAGAAATCGGTTCATCACTTGGAAATCCTTCATAATAGGGCTTGAGATAGTGACCGTTGACTTTGAAAGGAGAGTGGACGTCTTGGGAGATTTTGTAGGCTCCATATGGGAACACTTCCGTGACAACGTACGACCCACTCCACCTTGATCGTAGTTTGCCCGGAAAGAGTTTTAATTGCGAGTTGAAGAGGAGCACCTTTTGCCCGTTGACAAAGTCTTTCTTGATGATTTGAGCATCGTGCCAAGCTTTGGTTCTCGCTTTGTATATACTTGCACTCTCATAAGCATTCATCCTCAACTCCTCTAACTCATGCAACTCTAGGAGCCTTTGTTCTCCCTCATTATGGAGATCCAAGTTGACTTGCTTGATTGCCCAATGAGCACGATGCTCCATCTCCACGGGCAAATGACAATTCTTTCCATAGACGAGCTTATAGAGGGTGGTCCCTATCGGAGTCTTGAAGGCGGTCCTATAAGCCCATAGAGAATCAATGAGTTTGGAGGACCAATCCTTCCTCGTCCTAGCAACCGTCTTCTCTAAAATCACCTTAAGCTATCTATTGGTGACCTCCGCTTGACCACTCGTTTGAGGGTGGTAAGCAAGCCATCGCTTGTGAGACACCCTATACTTATCAAGTAGTCGAACGAAGGTGTGGTGCTTAAAATGCGATCCCCCGTCACTAATTATTTCTCTTGGAACACCAAATCTCGGAAAGATCACTTTCTTGAAAAGATTGACCACCACCTTAGAGTCATTCGTTGGAGAAGCTACGGCCTCTGCCCACTTGGATACGTAGTCAACGGCAACCAAAATATACTTGTTCCCATGTGAAGAAATGAAAGGGCCCATGAAGTCTATAGCCCACACATCAAAAACTTCAAGCTCAAGGATGGGGTTTTGAGGCATTTCATCCCTTCTAGAAATATTCCCCATCCGTTGACATCTATCACAAGTCTTGACAAATATCCAAGCATCCTTGAATAGAGAAGGCCAAAAGAGCATAGATTGAAGGACCTTTGAGGCGTTCTTTTGAACACTCACATGCCCACCACAAGGAGAAGAGTGACACATATGGAGAACACTTTAAACCTCGTCGTTGGGGACGCATCTCCTCAACAAACCATCGACCCCTCTCTTCAATAATATGGGATAGTCCTAAATGTATCTCTTGGCCTCGTGTTGTATCTCTTTGCCTCGTGCTTGAGTTTTCGACGTTGTTGCGAAGTGAAATCCAGCGGTACAACACTACAAGCTAAGTAATTCACAATATCCGCATACCATGGCTCCGATTTCACTTCAAGGATATATAGCACATCATCTCTTAGAGCGTCCTCTATTGGCTAGCCATCAACTTCAAACCTTGCACCGCCCAACCTTGAAAGGTGATCCGCCACCACATTCTCGGCTCCCTTCTTGTCTCTCATCTCATAATCAAAGTCTTGGAGGACTAAAACCCATCTCAACAACCTTGGTTTAGCTTCCTTCTTCCCTATCAAATATTTGAGAGCCAAGTGGTCGGTATACACAATTGTCTTAGAACCAATGAGGTAGGTCCTAAACTTCTCAAATGAATGGATAACTGCTAGGAACTCCTTCTTGGTAGTTGTGTAGTTTCTTTGGGCATCATTGAGAGTTTTATACAAATAATGTATGACCTGAAGTTTCCCATCCTTTCGTTGTCCAAGAACCGATCCAATGGCCTCGTCGCTTGCATCGCACATGAGCTCAAATGGAAGAGACCAATCCGGACCTTAGACAATAGGAGCGGTGCAAAGGGCTTCTTTCAACCTACAAAAGGACTTATGACAAGCATCATCAAACACAAACTCCTTATCTTGTTGCAATAGGGATGTGAGAGGCTTAGCAATCATTGAAAAATCTTTTTATAAAGCGCCGATAGAACCCGTCATGGCCAAGAAAAGACCTCACTTCCCTCACGTTGGTGGGGGGAGGAAGTTTTTCAATGACCTCAACCTTGGATCTATCAACCTCAATGCCGGCATGGGAAATTTTGTGCCCAAGAACAATCCCACTTTCCACCATAAAGTGGCACTTTTCCCAATTCAACATGAGGTTAGCCCTCTCACACCTTTCTAAGCAACGAGATAAATTAGATAGACAATCTTCATAGGTGGCTCCTCCAATGGAGAAGTCATCCATGAAGACTTCTATCTCATCCTCAATCATATCACTAAAAATGGACATCATGCAACGTTGGAATGTTGCGGGGGCATTACAAAGCCCGAAAGGCATCCTACGATGCGCATAAGTACTGTAGGAGAATGTGAAAGTTGTCTTCTCTTGATCCTTGGGGTCAATTGGGATTTGGAAAAATCCCGAGTAACCATCAAGGAAACAATAGAAGGAATGCTTTGTAATCCTTTCCAACATTTGATCAATGAACGGTAGTGGAAAATGATCTTTGCATGTACTTGTGTTAAGTTGGCGATAGTCAATACACATGCGCCAACGGGTATCAAGTCTAGTGGGTACTAGTTGATCATGATCATTTTTCACTACCTTCATGCCCCCTTTCTTAGGCACAACTTGCACGGGAGATACCCAATCACTATGAGCAATTGGGTAAATAATTCCTGCATCAAGAAGCTAAGCCACTTCCTTCCGCACAACCTCTTGCATGGAAGGGTTAAGCTTTCTTTGCCTTTGCCTAACGGGTTTGGCATCTCCCTCTAGATCAATTTTGTGCATACATAAAGATGGACTAATACCTTTGATATCATCAATGGTATAACCCAAAGCTTTCTTGTGTTTTCTCAAAAAATTGATCAAGAGGGAGGTTTGCTCCTCCGTTAGGTTAGAATTTACAAACACGGGGAAAGACTCATCGGGACCAAGAAATGCATACCTCAAGCACAAAGGTAGAGGTTTCAAGTCTACCTTTGGTGATCCCTTACCATTGGGGCTCTCTTCTCTTTCTTCAACTTGAAAGAGGTCATGAATGTAAGGAGCCTCTTCTTCCATGCTCGCATCCTTGCACTCCTTCTTGCTTTCCTCAAGCAAATCCTCATAGAATTGTATGTCTTCTTTGTGAGTACCTATCTTTGATTCATTTAACAACACATTTTCAAGAGGATCATTAGTAGCATGCAAGTGGGAGCGAGAAAATTCATTAAGAACGGTATCAAGAACATATACCCTAAAGCATTCACCACTTGAGGAGGGTTGTTGCATGACATTATTCAAATCAAACTCAATAAAATCATTGTCAATATTCAAGGATATCTTTCCCTCCTTCACATCGATGATAGCTCTAGAAGTAGCTAGAAATGGTCTACCCAAAATTATAGGAATCCTCTCATCCTCATCCATTTCTAGCACATAGAAATCCACGGGGAATGTGAACTTTCCTACCCTAAGGGGAATGTCCTCAACTTTTCCCATGGGGAACTTAACAGAACGGTCCGCTAGTTGGAGAGTAATGTTAGTGGGGGAGAGGGTTCCTACACTAAGCTTTTGGTAGACGGAATAGGGCATGAGACTCACACTTGCTCCTAAATCACACAAGGCTTTATCAAATTCAATGCCATTGATAAAACAAGGGATGGAAAAGTTACCCGGATCTTTCAATTTGGTAGGAATTTTGTTGGAAAGAATTGCACTACAATTGGCGGTCAAACTCACCGTCTCACACTCCCTTCTCCCACTTAAAAGGTCTTTCAAAAATTTAGAATAGTGGGGCATTTGCTTCATAGCATCAACAAAAGGGACGGAAATATGCAAATTCTTAATTGGGCATCAAGTTTAGCTCTCACAAATCGTTGTGGAAAGGGTAGCTTCTCCTCTCTAGGTTGGCGATTTAGGGGAAGGGGGTGGCTTCTTTATCCTTGGGCACCTCAAAATTTTGTTCCTTTTCAACACTCAATGGCTCATTGGGTTTTTCACCCTCATTATCTAACTCCACCTCTCCTTGGGGTTCTTCCTCAATTAAAGGGTCACTCCCTACTACCTTCCCACTCCTAGTTGTCACGGCATACAAAGGTTTTGGGTTGACTCCTTGACTTGGGACGTGAGAAGAAGAAGAAGAAGAAGGGGATGAATTAGATGCAAGTTCAGCAATTTGGGTCTCAAGCATTTTCATATGAGCATTGGTTCCTTTTTGGGCCTCTTCATGTTTATTTTGATCCTCCTCACGCATTTTCAAAAGAGCATCTAATTTAGCCATCACAGGATCAATTGGAGGGGCTTCAAGTTGAAGAGGTTGTTGAGGTGGAGGAAGTTGGGGTTGATGGAAACCCGGAGGCCTATTAGTTTGGGCATAGTTAGAAACAAAATGGCCCCTATTGCCTCCGGTGCCTTGGTTAGGAACATTGCTTTGTTGATTATTTCCCATGTTACCTTGATCACCAAAATTTTGATTTTGATTGTCATGGTATCGGGAATTAGGTTGTTGGTTTTGATTACCATACCCCCTTTGGTTAGAGTAGCCTCTTCCACTGAAATTGGAAGGGCCTCCCCCACCATGGTATTGGTTATCATAACCACCACCACTTTGGTTCCAACCACGGTTTCCACCTTGATTCCAATTCCCCATTTGATTGGAGTTTGGCCTCAAGTTCCCTACATTTCCCATTCTAGGAGAAAAATTCATAGCATTTACATTTTCCATATTATCATCATGTTCATGGGAAGGGGGTTGAACTTCACAAGCATATACACAATGAGAGGTATCATGATCATAGGTTTCACAATTAGAGCAAAACATGCATCCTTGGGGCATTGTATTGTAAGAAGAGGAGGTGGAAGTATCCATACCATTGCCTCCCTTGGTTGAAGGGGAGGTATTACCATGAGGGTTGGACCTTTCTTTTATCAATTCATCCATTTGCTTGGTCATTTTGGAGATTTGGGTAGAAAGGTTGTTGATTGCGTTGCCTTGCTCCAACGCATAAACACCCTTACTAGAAGTAGCATCCCTTTTTCCTTCGTACCAATCATCATAGTGCTTTGCGGCCTCCTCTATAATACACTCCACTTCATGCTCTCCTTTGTTCATGATTGGACTGTCGGCCGCGGCGTCTAGGCTTGTTCTTCCTTGAGGTGTGAGACCTCCATAGAAAGTGTGAATGAATTGATACTTGGGTATCCCATGGTGTGGGCATTGACGTTGAAGCTCTTTGTATCGTTCCCATGCTGCACTTAGAGACTCACCACTCTTTTGGCGGAAACCTTGAATCAAAGATCGAGCCTCGGCGGTCTTCCTATGGTTATAAAACCTCCTCAAGAAAGCCGTAGTCACTTGGTCCCATGTTGTGAGAGAATTAGGGGGCACCTTGTAGACACCCATTTGTGTCTCCCCAAAACCAAACCCAGTGATGAGTACCTTTCACGTCGAATCATAATCGAATGAAGCGAAAGTGTGGAAAGTCTAGTGTTGCGGATAGTTTTTAATTCTTTTCTCTTCTCTCTGTTTTTGAAAACTTATTTTAAGAAAACAGCCAATCCAGTTTGGTTGGTCCATGATATGGGTCCAATAATAGTGTAGTTGGATGGGGTTTGAAAAGACCTTCCCAACGATATATTATAAGCCCAATTCCGATGAATATCGAGGAAGTTATGGCCAAAATACTAAACTAGGCCCGCTTTGAGCCTAATATGCGGCCCAATGATCTAGAGGAGGGCCTATTATTAATTATCATTCCTAAACTATTAGGATTGATTATAGTCTTCTAAAATACTCTAGAAGGTTCTTTTAAATCCTAATGGAGTTAGGATTGATAATTATGTTTTAAAGAGTTTGAAATTGAATAAAACTACTCTTTTTAAGAATCCTTGTTTTGTACGAAGTGGAATATATTCAGATTTTATTTTCGTGCCTCATAATATTTATCCAAATTTTATATGGTTGATAGATCTTTAAATTATCTTTCCAATGATATATTATAATATTAAATCCTATTTATAACGAAAAAGATATGAATGAGACATGAAACTTTATCCAAAACTGACACCCTTCCACTATTTTGGCCATATCTTTTTATCTACAAAATATTTTAATCTGATACTAATTGGGTTGGAAAGTAGACTTTAAGAGCTTTCCAACGACATATTATTTGCCTGATTTAAACTTCCGGATCAAAAGATATGATAAAAACAAAAATGCATTAAAAACGGGTTTGGCGCCTGACTCCAGGCATTGGCGCCTGGCGCCGGCCATTGGCGCCAATAGCCAATGCCTGGCGCCAACCTCGTTTTGCATGCGCATACTCTGTTTTGTTAATTTTATCTTTTTGGCTGATATTCTCTATAAATAACGTATTAAAACTTCGTTTTCGAGAACCATTTTCATCAATTCTTATTTCAATTCATCAACTCTCATCAAGATTTTCTTGATTATTCTCTCTCTCTCTCTTTTTCTAAACTAGCCTTTTCTCAAATACAAAATTCGGCATTCGCAGGATCTAGATACACCTAGCCATATTCGATGTTGCCTTCGCCTTGGACGTGAAAGGTTTAACTTCTGAGGGTTTGGTCCCAAATCTCTCTTTCAATTATTTAATATAATTGCTTTGATTATTATTTTTCCTTGAAGTTACTAACGTGTGTATTTTGTTATTAGAAAGAGGTACGAGGCATCAAAGTAAGTGCTTTAATTGATTATTTGATATTATGATGTAGAAATCATGTTTATATTGTTATTATGATATTCCTAGTATCATGTCTAGGGTAATTTTAATATTAAATATGATTGTTGTGATGCTTCCTATGCTCTTCCTAATATTTATGATTGCTAGTATCATGTTAGGGCTAAAGCTTTGATTTTTATTGCTTAGTGACATGCTAGGGTTTGTTATTAATCTTGTTAGTATCATGCCTAGGATCTTGCTATTTTTATTATGCTTTAATATTAACATGAACATGATTATGATTATAATTGTTATAATGTATTATTATTTTGATGATGATTATTTTATTTATGATTATTATTATTATTATTATTATTATTATTATTATTATTATTATTATTATTATAATTATTATGATATGATTATTATTATTCTTCATGATTATTATTGATTATGTTGCTTGATACATTATTTATTCTTTATTGCTTGATCACACCTTTGATGCATGTTTAAAGGGAATTGGTACTTGTAATCATGCTTAATAAGATAATTAATAATCTTGTTTAGGGTTAATATGATTATAAATTCAAGTGATCGCCAATAATAGTTTATTTGTGTATTATATTCAACCAACATAGATAAACAGGTTTAGGGTTAATCCTATTGATTGCATGTTAATTAAAAAGCGCACATGAATACGATCAGAATAAAGTAGAGGCCTATTATTAGGGCAGTTTCAATCACTTTTAGGTTGAATTTGTACCTTCATCCCCGGACCCTTATTTGGTTCATGACCTTATGGAGTTGACGATCTCTTGGATCGTTAAGGGGTGTAACCTTCATTCTATGAACGGTTTACAAGTTCCTTAAAACTTGTTGGCGACTCTTTTTCTCTATCTTCTTCCCTTTTGGACGCCACCGTACTTTACTGTATGATCAAAGTGGGGTTCAAGCTAGTGAGATTTTAAAGGCTTGAAATTATTCCCTACACACCTCCTTCTCTAGCCATTCTAGACCTCTCCCAATTAGCGAAAATGGAAACATTTTGAGACGAATATATTCTTGAGTCACTCCGTTGGCCTTTATTGTGTCACAATATTTCTCAAACTCTTTTAGGTGCTCATGAGGACTCTCAAACTTTCCACCCGAGAATTGTTTCCTCTAAATCAAAGCAATCAAATTAGGCTTGATCTCGAAATTGTTGGCTTGATTAGTACGAGTTAGGATCCCACTTTGCACTCTAAAAGCTTCGGGGGCCCCAAGAAGACTCAAAGGCGTATTCTCTCCCATTTTAGAACCTTCTTCACTCTCGAACTTATAGGTTGAGAAAGGGTTGATTTCCAAACTCGAAGATGAGTTAGGGCTATCTAATTCTTCACTTGAGGGTGAAGAGGGTGGAGTATCTTCTAATTCTCTTACTTCTCTCGTTGGAGTGTGAGAATTTCTACTCCTTGCTCTTGCTTCTCTTCGAAGTAGGGACAAAGACCTCTCTAGCTCTGGATCGATGGGAATCAAAGATCTTGAGCGGGTTCGTCCTCTGTTCATACAACAAAGCTAAGAAGAACGTAAGCACTGACAAGTAACAAAAGTAGCAAACACTAACAAATAAAAGATGAGATAGTCTCAAACAAGCAATGAAATAGCAATGGAAGCCGTCTCCCCGGCAACGGCGCCAATTTGACAAAGGAATAATTGCGTCGTCAAACAACTACACCTAAATCAAATACAATTTATAACACTCGACTCAATCTATTACAAATATAGGGCAAGTAGAGGGGTCGAACCACAGGGAGAAATGCAAAAACACTGCATTCATTACCTAGAGTCTAAGCTATCTCGGAACAAGAAGTGTGGATAACTAAGAGATTAAACTAAAAATGAAATGGATTAAAATTAATATAACTAAGCACCAAGGGAAATGGGTAGATGTAGATGTCATTTGATCATGCAATAACACAGTAGCAAACCAATGGTAAACTAAACATGCATGAATATCGAAGTAAGGCCCAATCTAACCGCCTTCCGGGGTTAATCAGTTTCTCCTAACATAGCCTCTATGTTTCCACACCAAAACCATATATTAGAAGGTGCAATCAAAGAACTATCGATAGTGATGAATCTCAACTA